CCCCCCCCCGAAAGATAGTACTTTGATATTTTTACACATTGCACCTTAAACAAAGGTCCTTCATGAAGTGTACCCAAAAGAGTGCCATGGTATTTAGTTTAATTTGACGACTTTGGTGAGGTGGTTTTAATTTTTTCTTCTTCAGTGCTTTGAAGCAACCTTAGTAGTTTTAAAACGAAAGCTAAACACATTAATCAGATGAGATCATTTTAATTATGTAGCTTGGCAAAAGCAATCTGCAGTGGAAATTCGCGTCCGTAGAGCTAAAATACCAACATTCCTTTTTCAAATCTACGGACAGTGCATCACACCAGATCTCAGTCCAACTGAACAGTAGTGGAACAATTGAGATAGCATCGTAAGTGCCAGGCCAAATTAGCCCCAAACCCCAATTGCTAAGTTAGTTTTTACCAAGCCTTGATTCAAGAGTGGAGTAACATTCTTCAACAGTCAGTCGCATGTCTTAGTCTTTCACTGCGTTGGCGATGCTAAGCCGGAGATTGTCACAATCGTTATTGATGTTGTCACTCTTCGTTTTGGTCCCCCGCCCCCCCGTCTCTCTCTCTCTCTCTCTCTCTCTCTTTCGGCTTCTACAAGTTCAGAAAAGGAAATAAATAGTGATCACTTTCCTTTTTACATCACATTGTGTTGCACAATGATGGTATAGTCTTGTATGAATGCTTCGAACAGAATTGATCTGTATCAATCAAGACATTTTTTTTTGAATTCCTTAAAATAGATTTTGAAGTTACAAATTTTAAAAGGTATGTAGGGTCCATATTTGGAGTTTGAAGTGTAGCAGTTTGGCCCTCCGCTGTTCCACGTAAAAGAATTGAGTTCGGTTCCCGTGTGGTGTGTGGGCAATAATTTTTTTTTCGAATATCTCGGCCTTTCTGTAGAGATGTTGCGTCCCTCCCTGGTAGGGTCAAAGCATACTTTCTTTATATTCTGAAATGGGTCGATGGTGTCAAAGAAATGCTCAAAATAAAAAATAGAAAGAAAAAATGCCAACATTTGATAGGGGTAAAAGCAGTAGTGATAGTAGAACTGCTATCATAGTTTTTATATTTGCAAAGGCGGGGAGCTTACCTGTATCAAAAGCACAGGATACAAGGCAGCAGGCATTTGTCTGTTATCTGTGGACAAACCATCATCATCATCATCCTCATCATCATCAGCATCCTCAACATCATCATCAACATCATCATCATCATCATCATCGTCATCATCATCATCATCACAGAATAGCCACATGAAATGAGAGACTATGAAGATGAGAACGTTGTATCAAACAAAATCTAAGTTAAGGAATTTTGTAGTGGTGATTACTCGTCGATTTACCTCCTGCTCTTCCACCGCCCCCGACCTACTCCACTTCCTCCTTTCCCCCTCCCCTTCCTCCTCCTTCTCCTCCTGCCTTTTTGTATTATTACTTTCATTAGCACTTAGAACACTTAAAAAAGACACAACAAACTAAAAAAGACGAAGTGTAACAACAACTTTGCGGTAATAACAACGACAACAACGACAACAGCAATACCACCAACAACAACACTAACAACTAGAGAAGTAGCAGAAGCAGCAAAAAAAAAAAAACATCTAGAAAAAAACAACAACAAAATAATATATACAAACAGTAACGATACTACCAACGAGATCGTTACAAGTCACACAATCATGAAAATCTTCAAAGAGAACAATAACAGTTAGAAGAACAAACATAAACAAACAAAATTACACACTGAAACAGCCAGCACCACCAAAACCACCAGCACCACTGAAACAACAGCAGCAACAACAGCAGCAGCAACAACAGCAGCAGCAACAACAGCACCACCAGCAAGAACAACATCAACAACGACATCAACATCATTAACATCATCACAAACAGAGACAACGCCCACAGTGGCAATCATCGGGGACCCAGCGACACAGCTTGAATGTTCAGTCACAACTTTATCAACATTGCATTTGACTTTTCATCACCCTTGCCCAACCAGATAACATAAAAGCATCTTTACTGAGATAAAACCACCATGTGGTGAGAGAATAGCTTTGGACAACCTCTATGTCTCTTCATCAGAAATTGTTTAAGCCGGTGGACAAGCTACAGAGCCCCCACCCCCTTTCAATTTATATCTGAAGTTGGTCTTCAAGTACTGGCTGATCAGAAAAAATTTCGTCCCAAAGAATGTCGACAAAACCATTATGAATAAAGGTGCAAACACCAAAGGTCCCCGAAACTTGGACGATCCATACGGATTTATAATGTATCAATATTAATAACAGTAGAATGTGACTTCCACAAACAAAGTTACAAGATATTTTCCTGATCCCCAATTCCGAGTAAAGCACATTCTGACACGCTGAGTGAAATTGACCATCATGCGTTGACACTACAAAAGAGAAATCTCTGTTGTGCCCTCCGTGATGGTTTCCCTCAAGTCTTGGATACTTCCGAAGGTTTTCCCCACACAGTTTGTCCTTCAAACACCCCCAACAGTGAAAGTCCAGTGGAATCGGGTCCGGATTGTTTAGGGGTCCAGTTGAGCTCAGTCGGACTGACTGTCTTGTTTTTGACCCATCCCAGAACAGCTCTGGCGTCATAAGGAGCAGCCCTATCTTGCTGGAAGTGCTGGTTCTTTCTCTCTTCTTCCTCAACAAATTAAAGTCCAAATACCCTAGAAAATTTTGTTAAAATGACAAGGTGTCGATCAGACTTCATCGTATGACGGACGACCTTAACCATTTCAAAGGTGCATTGTTTTTAACAGGCTGTCCACTGTCAACCGTGTGTTACTCAGCAATTAGAATTCAAATCTTATTTTCTATGAACTAAAACCTTTCAAAACTTGCAGCTCATTAAAAAATGGACCTTTCGCTTGGAAGATTATGTTTGTTAGATATCTATAACGTCTTTCCGATGAACAGGTCGATTTGGAAGATTTTGTTTGCTGATACATCTAAACTGAAAAAGCAGGCCGTACAGGGGCTGACTGATTTATCATCTTTCCTTTGTGCAACAGCAATTAATTCTTTTTTGGAAAACATTTCCCGGATGCTTTAGCTTTCGGTCAATTTTGATGTCAACTGAGTCATAAACAAGAAAGCGGATGCTTTAGCTTTCGGTCAATTTTGATGTCAACTGAGTCATAAACAAGAAAGTTATCGACATTTCTTTGAACGAACTTTTTTCTGGTCAGCTGGCATAAGGGTATACAAAGGAAACAACTGACTGATGTCCTATCTATTGCACAAGCCACATATTAAACAACCCCTCAAAATGTATATCTGTATTGAAGTTGGCTTCAAAGTATAAGGGTATACAAAAAGGAACAACTGAATGATGCACGACCTATTGTGCAAGCTACATTAAAAAAAAAAATTCCGCCTAATTTATATTCAAAGTTGGCCTCCAAGTATAACGGTATACAAATTTTAATAGTTACAACTTGCTGATTCATATGAAGTTACCTCTAAGTGTAAAGGTATAAAAAAACAACTTACTGAAGTCCACCTTATTGATACAGCGATTATTGTCGACGTCTCTTGGATAATTGGCATCCGCCAACGCGGTAGAAAATCCGTAGTCTGAGGTCCATCTGTATCTCCACTCGGGGACACTGATACACCCGTCATCTAGAGGACATTACATTGTCAACTTCGGGGACTGCACTTACATCTGTTTATGTGTATGTGAGTGTGTATGTGTGTTTCAGTTTATGTGCGTGTGCATGTGTGTGTGTGCGTGTGCGTGTGTATGTATGTATGTATGTATGTATGTATGTATGTATGTATGTATGTATGAATGTATGTATGTATGTATGAATGTATGTATGTATGTATGCATGCATGCATG